TTCTGTTTTAGTTGTTTTTTATTATTCGATTGTTCAAAGAGATGAAGCGAGTTGTTTGAGAACGTTTTCAGTGTTTGTGACTGAAACGTTTTGCAAGCAAATATTCTATTTTATGTGCGTTTTTTGTGTGTTTCGCATTCATTCATTTACTATTAAGTTATTGCCTTTTTTATCGCGTATTTCATTATGTTTGTCTCATTTAGTTTCAATGAACGAAGGAAGATTGGAAATTTTATAGTGATTTTAAAAAAATTCATTTCTAACGTTTCCGTGCAGTTTGTGCAGAGTTAAGTGATATCAAATGGATGAAATAAAGAATTGGAAGTGGATGGTTTAATGAAGATTGAAGTGTTTTTTCTCGGATGGGTTATGTTATTCTCGTGATTGGTCTTTTTTTGTGATTTTTTAAAGCGAATTTTTTGCGTTTTCGATGCGTTAAGCTGCCAGTACGATTCATTTTTCTGTATTAAAATTCATACAGAATTTGTTTTTAACAAATTTTTCGCTGACTAATTGCGTTTGAATCGTTGATGATCACTGATGTTGTTGAAGTCGTTTCTGTGAACCGTTTTTGATAAATGTTGCTTCTGATTTTGCGTTATTCTGACAATAATGTATTCGTTATTAAATTGTTTTACTGTTAAGAATTTTTCTTTTTAATTTGTCAGTCAGTTTTAGAGCATCACTAACCCGAACTCGAATGTTACGGTGTGTCTATTCAATTGACCACGATTTTGATTACTGGAATGATTGTTGTGGTCCTTAAATGGCCAAAATTATCATTCATTGTCGTCATATTTGAGTTGCTACTCTGATGAATGTTGTTATCATAATGAGGTTGTTGTCACTTTTATTATTCATTGGTACTTTCAATCGTTTCACTGTACTTTCGCGTTCTGGCTTTAGTATAGTCAACAATGGACTCAATCGACGGATACTTGAATCGAAAATAAACCGGAGGAAATAAATGTCATTTGAAAATCTGAGCGTTATTCTCTTAGTTTCTCGAAGTCTTCCCTAATGGCGAGATTCGGCTTCGGCTGCAGCCGATTTCTTTCATATATCCTCTCGCTGGATTTCGTGTAGTGTTGTGTGATTTCCTTAAGTACTTCTTTATCAGTTTACATTTACCAGTATATGGAATTGACATCTTTGATGCATGCATATTCGTTGTTTTTTGGTTGTTCATGAATCATGATGAATTTATTCAAGTACTTCGTCGTTATTAATTGTTTTTTAATGAATTTGTTTACAAAGTGAGGATGTTTACTTGGTTTCTTTGAGTTGTTCTTTTCTTGCTTTGACTTATCACATTGTTTTGTGATTGCTTTTGATTTTCTGAAGTTGTTCATGTTAGCAAGTGTATGTGCGTGCATCAGATCCGAGAGATAGAATCTGAAATAAATGAGAGGACGATTGCAATCCGGCAGCAAATCAGTGGATTAGAAAGGAATCTGGAAGCCAGAAGTAAAATGCCTATGTGAAAACTTTCCTTGGTATTCCCTTGTTTAGAATATTTTACTGTTCATATTTTCGACGATTATGAGCGATTGCTTGTCAAAACTTGAGAAACTTACTCATAGCATGGAAAGAGAACATTCAGCAGCATTCATTGTTCAGTTATTTTTTAATTTGTTTGTTATTGATTTTATTGTTTTCAGTTTGATGATATCGTATTGAAATGTTATTTTATATGAGGTTAGNAGCATTCATTGTTCAGTTATTTTTTAATTTGTTTGTTATTGATTTTATTGTTTTCAGTTTGATGATATCGTATTGAAATGTTATTTTATATGAGGTTAACGTTTGATTTCGTTACATAAGATTTGCATGTTAAATAAATTCCACAACTCTGGTGTGGCATTGTTTTGTTTGCATGTGGCATTTGCTTGGTATTAACAAAACTGGTGAAAGTTACTCCAAAGTGATTGTGGTAGTGTGACGTGAGACGGATAGACTCCGAACTCATCCGATTTGAAGCATCCTAGCCGTTTGGCCTGCAGGGCCAACTGGGATCCGAATAGACTCCGATTAGCAGTTGACTTTTAACGGTTGTTGAAGCATATAAGAATGGTCAAGTACGTCGTGGTGGAGGATTAGGTACTCGTTTTGCTTTTTCCTACTATACCGTCCGTTGCTTGAGCATTTTTTGAAAAAATTTATTTGGAGAGCGATCAAACGATTGTAATTTTTGCCCAGAAAAATTGTAATTTTTCACCTTTATGGGATTTTCTAGATTCTCTAGTTTGAGAAAAGTTGAGTGTTGTTGGGCGATTTTGCTTGCATTTAGAGAAGTAGTTGATTTGCTAAGGGTTCTCATCTGTTGGGCAACGCTCATTTTAGCATATTACGGCATGACGGAA